TTTGCATCCCTGGAATGAAGCCTATTTGATCGTGGTTGTTAAACTTTTTGATGTGCTGCTGGATTCAGTTTGGCAGTATTTTATTAATGATTTTTGCCTCAGTGTTCATCATGGATATTGGCCTGTAGTTTTCTTTTTCAGTTGTGTCTCTGCCAGGTTTTGGTATCAGGATGATGTTGGTCTCATAGAAAGAGTTAGGGAGGATTTCCACTTTTTGGATTGTTTGGAATAGTTTCAGAAGGAATGGTACCAACTCCTATTTGTACATCTGTTAGACTTTGGCTGTGAACCCCTCTGGACCTGGACTTTTTTTTTTTTGGTTGGTAGGCTATTAATTGCTGGCTCGACTTCAGATCTTGTTATTGTTCTATTCAGGGTTTTGAGTTTTTCCTGGCTTAGTCTTGGGAGGAATTTATCCATTTATTCCAGATTTGCTGGTTTATGTGCCTAGAGCTGTTTGTAGTAATATCTGATGGTAGTTTGTATTTCTGAGGAATCAGTGGCGATCCCCTTTTTATCATTTTTTTTATTGCATCTATTTGATTCTTCTCTCTTTTCTTTTCTATTAGTCTAGCTAGCAGTCTGTCTATTTTGTTGATCTTTTCAAAAAACCAGCTCCTGGGTTTATTGTTTTTTTAAGGGTTTTTTGTGTCTCTATCTTTCAGTTCTGCTCTCATCTTAGTTATTTCTTGTCTTCTTCTTGCTTTTGAGCTTTGATCTGGCTCCTCTAGCTCTTTCAATTTTATAGATAGAGTGTTGATTTTAGATCTTTTCTTGTTTCTCATGTGGGCATCTATTGCTGTAAGTTTCCCTCTAGACACTGCTTTGTGTCCCAAGGATTCTGGTATATTGTGTCTTCATTCTCATTGGTTTCAAAGATCATTTTTATTTCTGCCTTCATTTCATTGTTTATCTCTTCATCATTCCGGAGCAAGTTGTTCAGTTTCCATGTGATTGTGCAGTTTTGTGTGCTTTTTCTAAACATGAGCTCTAATTTGATTGTGCTGTGGTCTGAGAGACTGTTAGGATTTCTGTTCTTGTGCATTTGCTGGGGAGTTATTTCCAATTATGTGGTCAATTTTACAGTAAGTGTGATGTGGTGCTGAGAGGAATGTGTACTCTGTGGGTTTGGGGTGGAGAGTTCTGTAAATGTCTATTAGGTCCACTTGTTCCAGATCTGCATTCAAGTCCTGGATATCTTAGTTGACTTTCTATCTCATTGTCTGTTCAATATTGTCAGTGGAGTGTTAAAGTCTCCCACTGTTATTGTGTGGGAGTCTAAGTCTCTTTGTTGGTCTCTAAGAACTTGCTTTATGTATCTGGGTGCTCCTGAATTGGGTGCATGTATATTTAGGATAGTTAGCTCTTCTTGTTGCATTGATCCTTTTACCATTATGTAATGCCCTTCTTTGTCTCTTCTGATCTTTGTTGGTTTAAAATCTGTTTTATCAGAGGCTAGGATTGCTACCCCTGCTTTTTTTTGCTCTTCCTTTGCTTGGTAAATCTTCTTCCATTCCTTTGTTTTAAGTCTATGTGAGTCTTTGCATGTGAGATGGGTCTCCCAAATACAGCTCACCAATGGGTCTTGATTTTATAACCAGTTTGTGAGTCTGTGTCTTTTGATTGGGGCATTTAGACCATTTACATTCAACGTTAATATGTTATGCTTGAATTTGATCCCACCATTTTGTTACTGGTTGGTTGTTTTGCATGTTAGTTGATGCAGTTTCTTCATTGCATCATTGTTTTTTACCATTTGGTTCTTTTTTGCAGTGGGTGGTACTGGTTGTTCCTTTCCATGTTTAGTACTTCCTTCAGGAGCTCTTGTAATGCAGGTCTTGCAGCGATAAAATATCTCAGCAATTGCTCATCTGTATTTTATTTGTCTCTCACGTATGAAGTTTAGTTTGGCCGGATATGAAATTCTGCATTGAAAGTTCTTTTCTTTAAGGATGTTGAATATTGGCCCCGACTGCCTTCTAGCTTGTAGGGTTTCTGCCGAGAGATTTGCTGTTTGCCTGAGGGGCTTCCTTTTGTGGGTGACCCAACATTTCTCTCTGGCTGCCCTTAGGATTTTTTCCTTCATTTCAACCCTGGTGAGTCTGACAATTATGTGCCTTGGGGTCGCTCTTCTAGAGGAATATCTTTGTGGTGTTCTCTGTATTTCCTGGATTTGAATGTTGGCCTGCCTTGTTAAGTTGGAAAAGTTCTCTTGGATAAAATCTTGAAGAGTGTTTTCCAACTTGGATTCATTCTCCCCATCACATTCAGGTATGCTGATCAAGCGTAGATTAGGTCTTTTCACATAATCCCATAGCTCTTGGATACTTTGTTCATTTTTTTCGCCCTTTTTTTCTCTAATCTTGCCTTCTGATTTTATTTCATTGATTTGATCTTCTATTTATGATATCCTTTCTTCTGTTGATCGATTCGGCTGTTGAAACTTATGTATGCCTCACGAAGTTCTCGTGCTATGTTTTTCAGCTCCATCAAGTCATTTATGTTCTTCTCTAAGCTGGCTATTCTAGTTAACATTTCATCTAGCCTTTTTCAAAGGTTCTTAGTTTCTTTGCATTGGGTTAGAACATGGTCTTTTAACTCAGAGAAGTTTGTTATTACCCACCTTCTAAAGCCTGCTTCTGTCAATTCATCAAATTCATTCTATGTCTTGTTTTGTTCCCTTGATTGTGTGGAGTTGTGATCCCTGGGAGGAGAAGGGGTGTTCTGGTCTTTGATAGTTTCATCATTTTTGTGCTAGTTTCTTCCCATCTTCATGGATTTTTCTCCCTTTGATTTTTGAAGTTGATGATTTTGGGAGGAATCTCTGAGTAGTGTCCTTTCTGTTAAGTTTGGAGCTGTATATATTTTGGCCTGTAGAAGCGATGCTGCGCTGCCTGAGAATCAGTCAGGCTGCTGGGTGGGTGGTCTTCCCCTGGTGTTTGTTTGCAGGTGAGATTAGGTCCACCTTCCCAATGGCTCTCTCCTTCCCCACGCTCGATCTTCCGGGTCAAACTGGCGTATTTGCTGCCAAGCTGTCTAGTGCATGGGCTTCAGTTTGAGCTTTGTGGGGATGGGGCCTGCCAGGCCTTACGGCCTGTTTCCCTGCTTTCAACTCTGCCTCTCTCTGTGGGTCCATCCCACTGGCATTAGTCCAAACTTCCACCCAGGTCCATGCCAACAACTTGCGGCACCAGGCGGAAGCTGTTGCTCACATTTGCACTGACAAACCATGGCGCCCCAGTCTGGCAGGGCTGTTGTGGACCAGGTTGCAGGAGGGACGAGGTAAGCACAGGATCCGAATCAGAGCACCAAGGGGGTGAAGTCCCCAACCCATCGAGCCGGCTGCATGTTCCAGGTGGGGACGCATCCTGCCCTGTCTTGGTTTGCCCTCTCTGGGCGCCTCTCATCCTGCTTCAGCGCCTTCCCTGGGCTATTATTTTCAGTGTCCTACCAGTCCCACTGAAAAAAACCTGGCACCTAGCTTGGAATTGTGAAGTCCTCCAGCCCTCTGCATCTCATTCACTGGGAACTGAATTCCGGTGTTTTCTCCTCTCAGCCATCTTGGGGCCTCCCAATTTGTGTTGTTTTTAAACCACTTGTCTTAGTTCATTTGGGTTGTAATAAAATACCATAAAATGGGTAACTTATAAACAACAGGAATGTATTTCTCAGTTCAGGAGGCTGGAAGTCCAAGATCAGAGTGCTGGCAGATTTGGTGCCTGGTGAGAGCCCACTTCTGATTCATTGATGGCACCTTCTAGATGTGTCCTCATATAGTAGAAGGAACAAGGGAGCTTTTGTGGGCCCCTTTTGTAAGGGCACTAATCCCATTCATCAGTGTTCTACCCTCATGACCTAATCACCTCCCAAAGGTTTCACCTAATGCCATCACCTTGGGAGTTAGGATTTCAACATAATGAATTTGGGAGTGGGAGGCACAAATATTCAGACTATAGCACCCCTAGTTTATGGTAATTTATGATTACACAAATACAGTATGTTAATTAAGCTCTCTCAACCTCAAGATCTGTATGAATAAAGGAGTATAATAGTAACTTCCTTGACTGGTTTGTTCTGAGGAATGATATCTGTGATTTAAATGAAGGTGACCCAAAAAGTCATCAGTTAATATACCTATTTTCTAGTAATTCATGCCTGCTTTAGGAAATATTATGAACTTCAACATCTAAAATCTTCCTGATGATGCTTTGATATGGAGGATATCTACAATCTTTTTATTCAGGGCTCAGATAATGCCATTTCCCTCAAGTGCAGAATACTGGCCAGAGACTGTTCTGATTGTTCAGTTCTGGGGCTTAAATATTCTGAATATTGACGTTTCCTTAAGACTAGGAGAAAGGGTGTGCTTCATCCTAGCGCATAACAAAAACGATCTGAGAATGATGAAGCCCATTAGGCAGAGCAACTACTGTTAAACAGCTTAGCAGAGAAAGAAGAGAAAATTACCTTCCTGAAGAAGCAAATTCACTGAGCCCAGAGTCCATGGTAAATTAATCACGGGCAAAAATCATTTCATTTGCAGGGCCAGCTACATGAACATGCAATCTGTGTGGTAACACAGTTCCTGAGGCTTAAAGGGCCCCACAGGTGGTTTAACGCTTTATCATCAATGTCTCAAGATTAATAATTTTTGAACAAGATGTTCTACATTTGTAATCTGCACTAGGTCCCGCAAATTATGTTATACTCTCTGACGCTGTGTGCATGGAAGGGATGAATTATTTTTTGCTTCATCTAATATACCTTTTATTTTATAATTAAATTGTTTATTTCAAGCTAGTTGTAATTCACATGCAGTTGTAAGAAATAGTACAGAAAGATCCCACGTCTTCTTTACTCAGTTTCCCCCAAAGGTAACACCCAAAAAACTGCACTAGAATATCACAACTAAGATAATGACCACTGATACAATGAGGAAACAAAACCCTTCCATCACCACAGAGATCCACACCACCTTTTCTCCATGCTACGCCTTCTTCTTCACTCACCTATCCATAACCCTCATTCTCTATATGCACAATTTTGTCATTTCAAGAATGTTACATAAATTTAATCATACAAAATGCAATCTTTGGTAATTGGCTCTTCTAACTTAGCCTAAGTACTTTGAGATTCAAGGAAGTTTTGTATGCATCCATAGTCCATTCCTTTATACTGCTGAGTAGTATTCCATTGTATGCCTGTAACAGCGTTTACTTAATTATTTACTCATTGTGAGACATATGGTTTTTATAGATTCTGGCTAGTAAGAATAAAGCTGCTATGAACATTGTATATACAGGCTTTTGTGTAAATACATTTTGTCATTTATGTGAGAGAAATGTCTACAAATGTAGTAACTAGATTGTATGATAGTAGAGCATTAAAAGAAACTGTCAGTCACCAGATGGCAGAATAAAAAGGTCTAAACTCTCCTTCCTCACCATGGACACATCAGTTCAACAGCAACACACAGATAAATTTCCATCATTGGAAATCCAGAAACTAATGAGCCACTCCTGCACCCGAGGTGAGTGTGAAACTATCCACATCAGAACTGGCAGGAAACAACTTGCACACACTGTGATAATAATCCCCAGCCCTCATATGATGCCACATGGCTGGGAAGGAACTCCCATCTCTCAGCCTATCCCTGAGGAGGGGATACCTAGAGACGCTGTGAAGCCTATCTGGTACTTCTCTAGGTATTACTAGAGGGATTGGTTTCTTTTTTTTCTTATTAACCCTTGGTTGAAGAGAGGAACTGGTTTCTAACTTCCCTGTTTTGGTGAGCTGACAGGGCCCAGCATCTGTTAAACCTCTGGGGCTACACAAAACAACAGTTGTTTTTTAAATAGTAATTGTTACAGCCGTGTTACTTCAAATATTTTCAGAGCAGTTTTTAATAAGCATGTGGGTACTTTCACTGCTCCCCACTTTGGCTCAGTGCAGAGTGATAAAGCCCAGCCTCCAGCTTCTCTCTGAAAAGCAAAGGAGACAGATCAAATAACTAGCCCCCCAGCTTTTCCGGCTGCTACCTGGGAACTGGATTTTATCTCATGTGTCTGAGCACTGAAAGGATCTGGCATACTCTAGACGCCTGAGGACCATTAAGAACAAACATTGTGACTTCAACTACCATGACAGTCTAAGTGGCACACAGAACCTCTGTCTGGACTGGTTGGTAAAGGTGTTCTCCTGTATGAGACCTGTCTGTGAAGACTGGAAAGGAAGCTGTGTTATCTGGTGCACAGACACCAATGCTGAGAGTATTAAAGAAGATAAAGAAATATGTTCCAAATGTTACCCACACAACAGGCGGGTTAGTCACTTGTCAAGTGTCAACCCCATGACCACAGCCAGGGAGGATTTAGCAAGAGTTCATCTCTTGCAGAGAGTAAAGAGAACACTGGGCAATCCCAAAGCAGTCCTTCCTCAAGCTGGGAACTGGGTCAGGTTTTATAAGCATAGACTAACGAGACACCATCTGATTGGATCTTGTAATGAGGTGATGCTGGAAAGCATGCTGACTGGATCCTGCCATGGAGTGAGACCAGAGTTCCATCCAGTTGGATCCTGGATCCTGCCACCGTGTGCCCACTTCTTAATTCAGCCTCTGTACCTCAGTCTGAACAATTGGGTTTTCCCTGTGGTTGCGTACTTGGTTCACCTGGCCATGCTCAGGTTATATGACCTGAGGGTCCATCACAACTGAAGAACAATTCACAACTTTGTTACCACAAAAGCTGAACCATGGAAGTCTACTGCTGTACTATTTACAATAGCCAAACATGGAATCAATGTAGATGCCTATCAACAGCAGACTGGATAAAGAAAATGACCCATGGTCATAAGATGTTTACAGCTAAGGAAGTGTAGTAATGCCTGCAAGGACAAACGCCTACAATAGCAGAATGTCCAGATGTCCCAATGTCACATAACAGTACATGCTTTTAAGATAGCTATAGTCAGACTTTGATGTACTTATGCACTAAAATGACAAGGGTAAGTTTCTTTATATCAACAAAGTACTAAGTTGTGTCACACCGACAGCCTACTCACATGTAGGCATAACTTAGCTTCTACATATAAAAGAAGGCTTTAAAACAAAGACAGCTTTCTGAGGCTGCCCTCCTCTTACTTTCTGAGGATGCCCTCCTCTGTAATTGAGCAGCTTTCAATAAATCAGTTTTCAACTGATTTAGGTGAGTCTTGAGAGTCCCAAAGTTAGTGAGTGTGGGCTTTCCAGGAACTCAGAGGAGGGCGGCTCTCTTTTTACAGCTCTACCAGGCAGCATCCCAGTGGGGGATCTCTGCACTGCCCTAGCAGAGGTTCTTCAAGAGGGATCCACCTCTATGGCAGTCTTCTGCCTGGATATCCAGGTGTTTCCAGGTGTTATACACATCAACTATATATAACAAGTTATGATACATCCATAGGGAAATTCTGTAAAGAGTTTCTAATTTGGCAACTGTAGACATAACTGTTTGGCTTGCTACAAATCCATTTTCTGTCTGTGTAGATGCTGGCACTACCGACTCCATTGTCATTCAGGTAGGCACATTCTCCAACTCCTCTGATAGGAAACCTAAAACCAAACACAAAAATATTAAACATTGGGAAGTTAGACACCTGCATTTGTTCCTACTCTCCCATCTTCTGCACCCCCTCCCTATTTTAATGTGAATAAGAGAAAAGCAAAAGTCTGTCATTAATATTGCTTCATAGTATTATAAACCATTTCTGTATTTAGTGTCTTTTATGTTCTCAAGGTCTTTGCTTGAAAATCACAAGCTTATCATTCATCCATACCAAGCTCAGCTATGTTGATAGGTATTTAACTGATGCTTGCTGCTGCACCCAAATGCACTGCTGCCATTGGTGGTCTTCAGTGAAGATGGTTTCCAGTCTCCTCAACTGTTTCATAAATGTGTAAAAGTAAAAACAAAACAAAACAAAAAAACAGAAGATTCCTAAAAAGGCTTAGCTTTGATTAATGGATATGACTGAGTTCCTATATTTTATCTGCTGCAATGTGATTATATTCAAAATACCCCACTGAAATGTTCACAGTCCAAATAACTGTTACTAGTTTCCTTCTGGTGACAAAACTTCAGGAGTGAGAGATTCCCTTGAGTTCCCTGGATGCTTTGCTATTGTGAATGGATGCAACAGCTGGAAGAGTGGGCCTAACAGCCTTGTGGATATCAGCTCCTCAGTGGTGTCCTACGATTGTAGAACACTTATTGTAAATCAGTTATAAGTAGGGATTTCAGCAGTTTTAGATCAGTGAATTAAAGTGTAAATTTGTGCCAAATTTCATTGTCACGTTACTGAAATCACAGTTAAGTAAAGCTTTCCCGAAGACACAGTTAATAAATAGAAGAGTATAAAAAGGGTTTAGATTTCTTACCTCATATTGCAGTAAGCTTTCCATGATACATTTCTCATCTCATAAACACAACTCACACACATAACCACACATAAACAGAGCAGAAAGTTAAGTCTCAAAACATACGTGTTATTATGTTCTGTGTTGTCTGTCCACCTCCAAATGCCATCGGATGATTCTCTTCTAAGGCCAATCCAATGGTCAGAAGGGCCTTTGTATCTTTTCAGGAAATTCTATAATAAAACAGAAAGTAATACCATGCATCCCTTTCTTCCACATTACTCTGGAGTCTCTCTTCCCTATCCCTTCTCTTTTTGACTGGCAGCATGGTATAATTAAGCAGCATACACTCTGGAGTGAGACTAATTCCCAATTCTCAGTTTAAGTCATTTAATGTCCCTGATCCTAAATTACTTTATTTAAAGTGAGCATATATCCCAGTTTGACTGGGAAATTCCCAGTTTAAGCTTGTCATTCCACCTATATATTAATGCTCACATTCAATACCCTATGTGTCTTAATCTAGATGACAAATTATATAATTATCTTAATTCTTAATAGAATGAGAACAATACAACTCATCTTGTAGGTTCACCATGAGAATTACATGAGAAAACATATCTAAAATATCTCACAGGGTTCCAGGCAGAGAACACATCCTCAACAAATGTTGGACATGAAAACACATCTCATGCCCCTGGAATGGGATCCTTCCTCATATTTCAGCTTTAACCCTATGTAGCTGACCTGCCTCAGGGCCCTAAGTTATCCGACAGAAAACATGATTCAAAAATATCTCTTACCAGTTCTTCCATAGTTGCAAACTGAGCGAGGCTGGCTTCTAATGAGACACAGAAGACTTGACTGAATGTCCAATTTCTTGTGTCTTCAGAAAAATAAAAACATTTACTCCCAAATCCAATCCAGCTTTTTGGGCAAGCAGCGTACTTAGGTGACTCCATCACCGGCTTTTCTTCTCTCATTAAAACTGAGACAATCACATTGAAACATAATAAATAAATTTTCTCATCCCTTTTATCTACTTTTCTGCTTACCTTCCTGAGGTCAATTTTGAAGTGTACACATCTGATTGTTGTTTTCCTAACTCATCACATAGTGCCTTATCCTAAGCACAACAGTTATCAGTCCAGTGGTTTTCAGCTGGGTACCTTCACCCTTGACTTTCTGAAGTTTACACTGACATTACAGTTTCAAGGCAATCAATTTCTATAGCATCAACTTCCATAGTACTGTACTTTCACAGGGCCATGTAGATGATTTTTCCATATCCTCCCTCATATTAGCCTTCCTTCCTCTTGACAAAGCCATTTGAGGACCTATTGCCTCTATATACAAGACATGAGGTTGGTTTGTTTGTTTTTTTAATGTATATAGTTCTCTGTGCTTTCGTGCATTCTCAATCTGCTTAAGTAGAAGACACCAGTTCTTAAGGCCGGATGATTTGTCTGAAAACATTTCAAGTAGAGATATTACTTTATTCTTAATAAAAATGACAATTCTGATAGGAACTTGTCAGGAAATAGCTCCGTAAGTGAAATTCCTATCCCCATAGCTTTCTCACATCACTGAATGGCAAGTGCATTCTTGCCAAGGCTCAAAAGAAAAGAGAGACTTATCTTTTACTTTTCTCTTTCTAAGAGTTTTTATCCAATTTGATATAAAATACTGTTGGCCCAGCTTTCCAAATATCCAGAATCTGACCACCCTCCCCTACCTAGTCCCAATACAGCAATCAAGTGATTATTCTACAATGGAAGTCACATCACGACATTCCTCTCATATAATTTCCCTCATCCAAGGCTCCCTATTGCACTGAAGGTAAAAGCCAAAGTCTTTAACTGATCCTCAAGGTTCCTCCATTCCTAACGCCCCATGGTATCACTCTTCTTCTCCATCCTCACTCTGCTTTACCTACAGAAGTCCCCTTGCTGTTCCTCAAACAAGCCAGGAAGAGTCCTCCTTTAGGCTTTTGGTCCACATGTTCTGTCTGGAATAGGTTCCCCAGGTAGCCACATGGTTCCTACATCTCTTTCAAAAGGTTGCTGAAATATCATCTTCCAAGGAGGCTTAGCTTTGTCAACCTATTGCAACCTGTTACGCCTCCACCCTTATTTATTATTACTTGTGTTTTTCTGCTGGAATATAAGTCCCTGAAGAGCAGGGATTCTTTTGTGTGTGTTTTGTTTGTTGATGTAATTCAAGGATTTCATACAGTGACAGGCAAATAATGGAGCTTAATAAATATTTATTGACAACATAAACATGTAAATAACATTGTACAGTTTGGAGAACAAGTAACTTACCCGACAAAACAATAGAAAGTGTAACCACACTTGTAGTCAGAACTGCAATGATGAACAGGCAACAATAAACCTTGACAGGAGTTACTGGAGACATAAGTGCTAGGCATTTTCTTTGCAGAGTTTTACCTGTAAAATACAAATATCAGAATCTCAATCTCAGGAAGATCGTAGGGAGAAAATGTATCACACAATCAACACAAGCTTAGCTGTACTTCAACTCTCCTATTGCCAACTCCTTTCACAAAAGGTCTTGGTTCAAAAATGAGAAAAATGGCCCAACGAGGGCTAGAGATAAAAATCAAATTGTCCCCATCCTCAGGGAATCTTCCAGTTATTGGAAAAAGAGTAGAAATTGGGATGAAAAAGAAACATACACAATCCAGATTTAGTCTCTTAGTAAAACAGCTGGTTAGAAGCAACGAGGAAAACAGAAAATGAATCAATGTAATTCACCATATTAATAGAATGAGAAAGGGACAACATATGAGCATCTGAATAAATGCAGCAAGAGCATGTGAAATACTTCATATTCATCCACGATAGTAGTCTCAACAAATTAGAAATTGAAGAATCTTCTTCAACCTGATAAAGGGCATCTACAGAAAAACTACAGCTAGCACCGAACTTGATAAAAGAATGAATCCCAGTGACAAGGAATAAGGCAAAGATGTCTGCTCTCTCTCACCAATCCAACTTAACACTTTGCTGGATGTCCTATTAGGGACAAAAAGATAAGAAAAAAGAAAGAAATGTCATACAGGTTCGAAAGAAATAAAAGTGTTGTTCTTCACAGACGACATAGTTGTTCTGCATATAAAATTCTAAAGAATCTACCGAACTGCTACCAGAATAAATGAATTTGGCAAAGTTACAGGATTAGCTATGTTAATATATAAAAATATATTTTCATATATTCATAATTATGAAGTAGAAATTTAAGTATAAAAATAATGCCATATATAATAACACAAAAGACTATTATAAATATATCAAAATATGTTTAGGATCAGTATGATGAAAGCTACAAACCAATGGGACAAAGAAATCAAAGCAGACTTGAATCAACAGAGAGATATAAGATATTCATAGACTGTAATATGAAATATTCTGTATGTCAATTATATCCAAAAAGGTTTAGAGAGTCAGCACAATCCTGATAAACACTGCAGTATGAATTTTTTTTATAGAAACAAGCAAAGTAATCTTAAAATTACATGGAAAAGCAAAGAACTAGAATAGCCAAACAGCTTTGAAGAAAAAATGGCCAAATTTGGAAATCAAAGAACCTGCGTTCATAATTTACAAAGTAACAGAAACAAAGACAGGATGATATTGACAAAAGAACAGACCCATAAATCAATGGAACAGAAAAAGGATTTCAGAAACAAATCCAAGCATGGATGGTCACTTGACATTCGACAGAAGTGGAAAGTAATCAGGCAGGTAAGGGGCAGTATTTTCTGAACATGTAATGCTGGAACCATTGAGTATCCTAATGCAAAACAGTGAACCTCAACTCACACCTAATACCTTATAAGAAAATTAACTCAAAATAAATCTCAGATTCATATATGACACCTCCAACCCTAAAACTATTCGAAGGAAAGAGGAAAATAAAATATTTGCAAACTCGAATTAGGCAAAAATCTCTTAGATACAATACCAAAAGCATTATCAATATTTAAAAAACTGATAAATTGAATTTAAACATAATTAAAACTCTCTATGAAAAAAAAAAAAAACCCTGAAAGGGGAATAAAAAGACAAGCAAAGGCAGAAAAACATCTTTCTAAAAAGTGAATTGTATCTAGAATATATTAAGAACTCAAAACTCAACAATAAGAAAACTAAATTAAAAATGGAGCCAACTATTTGGAGATGCACTTTATTAAAGATATAAGAATGGAAAATAAGTACATAAAAACATGCTTGAAATAACCAGCCGTTTGAGAACTACAAATTAAAACCATAATGAGTGACTACTATGTGCTTATTAGCGTGGGAAACAAAACAAAAAAGAAACAAACCAACCACTGGTGAGGAAGGGATGTGATACGGTTTGGATCTCTGTCCCCACCCAAACCTTACGTTGAGTTGTAATCTCCAGTGTTAGAGGTGCGGCCTGGTGGGAGGTGATGGCATCATGGGGGCGGATTTCCCTCTTGGTACTGTGTCTCAATAAGAGTGAGTCCTCTTGAGATCCGGTTGTTGAAAACTGTGTGCTACCCTCCCCTGCTCCCTCTCTTCTTCCCACTCCCGCCAGATGAAGTGTGGACTCCCCCTTTGCCTTCTGCCATGAATTGTTAAGTTTCCTGAGGCCTCTCTAGAAGCTGAGCAGATACCAGAATCATGTTTCCTGCCCAGCCTGTGGAATGGTGACCCAATTAAACCTCTTTTCTTTACAGATTACTCAGTCTCAGGTTACTTCTTTATAGCAGTGCCAGAATGGACAGGATGCATCTGGAATTTTCATGCATCATGACTGGAAACACAAAATGTTATAGGCACTCTGGAAAACAGTTAAGCAGTTCGTTATCATAAATGTAAATGCACCACATGCCCTGGCTATCCTATCCCTAGGTATTTAGACAAGGAGAGTAAAAACTTGTGTTTACCCAAAAACCTGCAAGGAGTATTTACATCAGCTTCATTCATTATCAGAAAAACTAGCAACAACTCAAATATGCTTCCGCTGGTGAAGAGGTAAACAACTATTCTTCAGTCCTAATAAAAGAAAAACTTAATCACACATTCACAATTGCCCATTTCTTACTGTGTGTTAGCTGGCCAAACTTTTGTCAAGTTTTTCTCCTCCTGACAGACCCCAAATGGGTTTGCCTGCAAGTTTGCCTAACAAGCCCCAAAGCACAGACTTGGAAAAAACATCCTGCCTTACCCTGACTACAAAACACCATTTCCTGTTGAAATCCCTAGACTTTTTCCCTTGCTTTCTCCCACACCATTAAGGTATTTTCAAACTCAATGTTACTTCTATTGCAACAGTCCTTTTGAATAAAGTTTCTCCCTATCTAAGCTCAGACTTGTTTTTCTTCAACAAATGACACATACTATAATACAGATGACTTGCAAATGTATCATTGCTAAGTGAATAAAGTCAGATTCTACATTTACCTACTGCAGGATTCCGCTGATATGACATTCTGGAAAAGCCAAAGTGCAAGAACAAAAAACAGATCAGTGATTGCCAAGGGCTGGGGGTAGAGGAAGAGACATTCTACACAGGAGCATGAGGGAATCTGGAGTGGGTGGGTATGGCTCAATATCTTGACTCTGATGGTATTACATGAATATATGTTTATCAAAACTCATAGAAATGTACACCAAAAGAGTGATTTTAGAAATTCACTCATAGAAATTCACACCAAAAGACTGAATTTTACTGAATATAAATTGTAGTATTTTAAAAGTCCCTGCCAACTTATTTTCGTTTAACATTCATCTCCAAGAATAACAAGGAGTTTCAGCTTAGATTCTAGACAGGGAAAAAGATGGGTAAGAATAGATGATCTTAAGCAGTAAATATTGTTTGGATTTTTGCTCATATAAAAATCTCAACCTTTATTCTTTCTGGTTCCACACGAATGCAAAATTGTCGTAAATGTTCAGAATACTAAGACTTCCATAATTCTTTTTCATTCTTACTAAGTGAATATGTAACTCTCCCCTTAAAATTTCCCCCAAATCTCCCATTTGCCTCTCTTACTAACCTTCTAAATGTCCCTAGTATTCTTCTCCTTTTTTACATCTCTAGCTCCTCCAACTAATACTGAGACAGCCAGGTGGGAAGGGGTCCCTAGAGAAACTCCAACCAGCCTGCCCACTGAGGTGGAGCCTTGGGAAGTTCACAAGGTTTGCAGCAGGAATGAGCCTGGGCGGGCCCCTCTTTCTCCTGTGTGGAACCTGGAATTCAAACTGCCGGGTGGTAAGCGCTCTAGCAGAGGTCCTCTGGCCTTGCGAGAGTACTTGTTTCCCCCACTTTTTCCCTTTTTCACCCAATAAAACCCTGTTTCACTCACCCTTTAAACCATCTGCAAGCCTGAATTTTCATGGTTGTGGGACAAAGAATCTCGTTTTTAGCTGAACTATGGAAAAGCCTTACAACAATATTCCCACATACATCTTGTTCCATTTCTCCCTCTTACTTATTTCTCTTCTATCTTTCTTATGGTGTGTCCTGACTCCTGCAAATTCATATCACTCTTAAAGTACACACTGAACACAATACTCTTCAGATTTCTAGTTGGAAAAACAATATTAGGAATTATGCCTCAGAGGAACAAAGAAATAAACCATATTACTGGTCAAATTTTAACTCAGTTTCAGGATCCAAAAACAACACAATGCATCTTAAAAAACAAGTTTCACAGCTGCACCAAGTAGCAAATATTTAGTTTCAGTTCTGTAAATATTTTGCTTAGTTAGTTTCAGTTCTGGAAACATTTCAGTTAGTCCATACAATCTTTAGAACATGTCTGTTTAAATAAGAACCCTGGGCAGAGTCGGGTCTGGCAGAGTTTGGAGGGAAAAAAAAGTACCCTGTTTTCTATGAAATGCAGTATCCTGAACTCCTGAATAAAAGTAAATTTAATAAATAAAATTGAGGGAGGAGGGGAGAAAGAAAGAAAAAAAAAGAATGAAATAACTTTTTTCAAAAGCAAAAGAGGTCAGTAAAGGTATCCTTTCTACTGAACTGAAGCACAAACATACACCCATTACACGGTTGTTCTTTCTCAGAAAATCTGCCATATATTGAAATGCTAAAGGGTTTGCTGGTGGGCAGGGTCCGCTTCTCACTCTTCCCCTCAAATCTCCACATCTCTTTTTAATTACAAAGGATCTATAAATCAAAAGCCATGGATCAATAAATGAAAAGCCCCTGTGTTTGCAGGGCAACACCTAACAAAAATAGCACTAACAATATAAACACAAAGAACATTTTTTTCCTTCATCTGCTTATAATCTAATTCACTGTTCATTTCTCTGACCCCAGAGATATTTAAGTAACGTACAAAGTACAATAACTGATGTAGCAATTCCACATCTATTCTCCAAACCATCCCTATTGCAAACATATCACTTTTACAGAGACTATCAAGTGCTAATGCTCCTAAAACCCAGCTTCCTTCATGCTGCAGTGGAAGAAAAGTTGCCTCTATTTTTTCAAATGCCATCAATTACATTACCAGATTCTCCCTCTTCTAAGCCATCTCTGAATGTAAGGTCTACTTTTAACATTTTCTGTGAAGTCTCTGCAGCTGTCATCTTGTAGCTTAGCAGAACAGATTAGAAAATGCCTTTAGAAAGGAAGCTGAAACCGAGCCATCAACGGTTTGGTATGTGGTGACGTTGAAATGATTTGCTTAACTCTTACCATGAACTCACGGAATGCTCTGGATAAGCAAATAATTCAAATATCACCAGATATGAGGAGATAATTCAAAGATTACCAGATTCAGGGATAACACTGGACACAAGGAAAAAACCTTATAGATATCATTAAACATCCACTATGATGGCTAAAACAAAAAGACTAATACAAATATTTTTAGGGGAATGTGCTACTACTGGAGCTCTAATACACTGCTGGTAGGAGAACAAATCTAACAACCGTGTAATACTCTCTGACATAACTACCAAAGTTAAACATAACCGGATCCTGATCTAGTAATTCTACTCTTAAGTATATTTCCCCATGAAACACACATATATACACAAAAGAACATGCACAAAGTGGTCATAATAGCATTACTTGTAGCAAACCTGGAAACTCAAATTCCCATTACAAGTAGAATGGAGACATATTGCATATTAATACTATGAAAAAATATACAACAATAAACAGGAAGAAATTCCTACTATAGGCAACGCCATGGATGAACTCAAAAACATGGTATTTAGCACAAGAACTCAGACACTACTGCATACACCTTGAACTGTTACACTTATATAAAGTTTAAAACAGATAAAAGTATCTGTGAAGATTATTTTGTGAAACAGGAAGGAAAAAGGTGACTGGCAAGGTCCAAAAGGGTTTGACACTGCTGGTAAAATTCTATTTCATAAGAAGAGTAGTGGTTGTATGGATGGTGCTCACTTTGTGAGAATTAAGTATACACTCGTGATATATAACTGTTCACTATGCTAAATAAAAGTATTTACTGAATAAATATATTTGTGCAGAAAACAATACCTGTATTAAAAAAATAAAATAGCACACATTAAATGCATCAGAATGGGTGCCTGCCTATGGGGGTTTGGGAAGTAAGACTAAAAAGAGAATACACAACTAAGAGAGGCTATAGAAAGGTCAATGAGGACAATGTGGCATCAACTCACACTATAATTTACACACAATGTATTATCTGTGGTCTAAATCCCTTAAGCCACAGATGGCATGGCCTGTCTGGGAGAACTCCCTTCTTGTGCCCCTCAAAGTTCTGCAAACTCTGACAGAGAGGGCAGGTCAGAAATGGGACTAAAAATAGAATACATAAAATAAGAAATGCTATAGGAAAGTCAATGGTGCTAGTATGACATCATCAACTTGGTCTATAATTAACTTGCCAACTGCACTACCTGTGGTCTAAGTGGAGGGCAGAGAGTGTCTTTCCTTGGGAGAAAAATGAGGGGGTGATGGCACTTTTACTGAATCTTAAAGGAAGGGTAAGATTATGAGAGATAAAATTGAAATGAAGTTATTTCAGCTATAAGGAATAAGACAGAACAATAATTCTCTACCTTGCCTACACATGTGAATCACTAGCGTGCTTTTAAAAACAATTATAACGTAAAACAGACTAAATCAGGACCCCTGGGGGTGGAATTTGAACATCCATATTTTCTGAGAAATCCCTCTCCCAAATGACACTCAAAGGAAGCCTGTGTTGAAAATCACTGGTATAGAGTACCTGAAGAAGAGAAGCATAAAAATTGGTAACAATTATATTACAAAGGTAGGTTAGTGACAGTAAATGGCCATGGATATAGCCACTGGGGACCCATGAAAGTAGCTGTGCAATGGGGGTATTAGTAATTAACACAGTAATTTTAGGAGATTTAGTGGAGCACTGCTTCCAGGATGGAAAATAAAAAAAGTAAGAAAACAAAAGAAGAAAGAAGAAAGAAAGAAGAGAGAGAGAGAGAGAGAGAGGAAGAAA